TTATATCTAAATCAGGGGTTGAAAATGTTTTATCCATAAAGGGCCAGACAGTAATTAGTTTAGGCTTTGCAGGACACACTATTCAACTCTGTCCTTGCAGCATCAAAGCAGTCACAGATGACATGCAGATGAACAGATGTGACTACGTTACAATAAAACTTTATTTATAAAAAAAAGACGAAGGTTGGATTTGGCCCTTGAACAATAATTTGCCTTGCCAATCCTCAAATGGAATATTTTAGCATATGTGCCATTAAAGGTTTCCAAATTAAAAATAAGGAGGAAAAGCTCCCTGTTTTTTTTTTTAATTTATTTTTTGGTACTGGGAATTAAATACAGGGGTGCTTTATCACTTGGCTACATCTCCAGTCCTTTTTATTTTTTATTTTGAGACAAGATCTCACTAAATTCCTGAGGCTGGCCTAGAACTTGCAACCCTCCTGCCTCAGCCTTCCAAGTCACTGGGGCCATAGGTGTGAGCCACAGTGCCCAGATCCATTTTTTAAAACAGAAGTCCCAAATTCAAGTAGATGTGTGTCAGAATGGTTCTTTCTTAATTTAGATCTAGGATAATTAGAATAACTTCAGGATGATCTAACAATGGCGTCTAAATAAAAGTAAAATTTCTTACCTTAAAGTCAGCTTTGGTCAAGAGTAAATGAAAACTATTACTGAGGGCACTTTTGCATGTAAAAAGGAAACAAATTGGCATTAGTCATATAGGAGCTAAATGAGTCACAAAGGCATAGCAAGGCATCTGTGAAAGAAAACATATACAAGAAAGAGTAACTATTATCTAAGCTTACCTCTCCCCCATCTTTAAACAATTATCTTCCCAATCCCCAAAAGCAATAAATTAGAGAAACAGGACTCTTTTTACAACAGTTTCTTGTATTCACCAGTACCCACTAGTCACTGTTCTGTAATATCCCACAAGTTTTCATGATGTAGTTCCAGATTAGACATTTCTTTTTTTTTTTTTTTTTAATATTGTTTTTAGTTGTAGATGAACACGATACCTTTATTTTATTTATATTTATGTGGTGCTGAGGATCAAACTCAGGGTCTCACACATGCGAGACAAGCACTCTACCACTGAGCCACAACCCCATCCCAGAGATTAGACATTTCTGATGGAAGTAAGTATAAGATACTAGGACTCTCTTGAAAGTTCAATGTGATTATTACAGCAAAGAGAAAATACTATTGATTCTTATCTTTTCAACCACAGACTTGGAATAAGCAATCTCATTTGTCCTATAATTCAGAGACATTACTAGATTTTCAAAGACTAAGTCTGTCCATTTTTTTATAACTTCATTTTATTTATTTATTTATTATTTATTTATTTTTATGTGGTGCTGAAGATCGAAACCAGGGTCTTGCACGTGCAAGGCGAGCGCTCTACCGCTGACCCAAAACCCTAGCCCCAATCTGTCCATTTTTACCTCTGTAAGTTTTACTAAGTATGATGTCAAGCAGATAAGCAATGTCTTTACAACTTCAGATAATTCTCGATGAATGCCAACTACTAAATTAAAACCTAACCTGCTATATACTTCAATTTGCTCTTATACTCCAGAGGACTGATACTAAAATTCAACAACCTGTGAAGATGTTACATATAAACAGAGCATGGGGGCTGGGGATGTGGCTCAAGTGGTAGCGCACTCGCCTGGCATGTGTGCGGCCAGGGTTCGATCCTCAGCACATACAAACAAAGATGTCGTGTCCGCCGAAAACTAAAAAATAAATATTAAAATTCTCTCTCTCTCTCTCTCTCTCTCTCTCTCTCTCTCTCTCCCTCTCTCAAAAAATAAATAAATAAACAGAGCATGGCCAAAAAAAAATTTAAAAATCCTAAAGAGTCATAATTAAATACCACAAATCCAAATCTTTTGGAATTTAATCTCCATATATTGGAAATGAGGTGGAGTGCTAGTGAAACAGTGCCAACAAATGAACCTGTAAGGAGCCTGCCCTGTGTCAGAGGAGACATTTAAGCTACAGACTACAACAGTATGGTACATATCAGAAGTATACGTACCCTCATAAATATGAAAACCATCTCAAATATTATAATAATAGGTAACTCACCAAAGAATACCAATAGTCAATAGATCAAACCATTGCTTTGTTATCTCATCAATATATATTAAATAAACGTTAATAACGCCCATGGTTGGTGGAAAGTGTAGAAAATGGGTCACTCTTGTGCTACCTCCTGCCAATCGGGAGGAGCAGTAGAACAGTGGCCACCTCATCTAAAACAGCTTCTTAGCATCACCACCAAACACCTTGCCCAGCCCTCTGGTTTCTTCATTGCATTTATTACTACATTACCCGTTCATTCTTTTCCATGTTTACTGCCTGTCTCCCACATGGAATCTAAGCTTCAGGAAGGCATGAGTCTTGTCTGTTTTACTCACCACTGTATCTTGAACACTGTTTGGCACAAGGAAGACCCTCCACAAATATTTGCTGAATGAATTATACTGTTTTATTATTATCCTATCCAGTATATAACATTATGATTATTTTAAAAACCAAAGTTCAAATCAAAATAACATTTCTCCTTTATAAAGTACTCAATATTTTATTTACTATTTAAGGTATTTACCAGATCTGATGAAATTTTCTAATGCTTTAAATAGCATCCCTAACCCCCATATTTTTTTTCCCATGGCAGCAAATGTTCCAAACAAAACATGTCTCTAAAATTAACACCTGAAGAATTTAACTCTGCTCTCTTCCCACCCAGATAGTTTGCTAGAGTATATTTGGACCAAAGAGCACAAGCTAGCAATTATGAATAAAGTGTTATACCAACTGCAAATCGATGTACTACTTCAATGAAACACGCTTGAAGAAAAATGGAAGGCAGCTATTCAATGCTTAAGGAAAACATTTAAGTGCTGTTAACTCAAAAACAGCTCTGGTAGGAAAAAAAGAGTGACTATAATTGGAAAAACAAATAAGGCATGATATCTATAAGAAGGTTACCATTTTTAAAAAAATTAGTATCATTAATGATAGCTTACTCATAGAGGTCAGGCCCCATCAAAACTCTATGTTATATAAAATGTTTAGGAAGGTAATACCTCCTGGAATCTGTTTATCCAACTGGTCATTTTACTCTAGACTTCTTTTGAGCCACGTATCATTATTTTCCAAATCACAGGTTTCAAGCTGTTTGTGTCACAGATGGAATGGTCTTTCTCTAGCATTTGGGGCTAAAAAAAGAAACAGGAAACAAGTACCAGAAGCTAAGCTATGCCATTACAGTCCTAATTAAAGTTTTTGACACACATAGTAGATAGGGACTCAAGAAGCCACTTCACAATTTCAAATATTGTGAAAAAAAATCATTATTCTATGAATCTATTTCAAGACTAATGAAGGTTCAAATACAATCTAACTGCTGCCTTGCCAAATCCATTTCTGAACAGGAACACCATGTAAGATTACACAAAGGATCCACTCTAGCCCATTTTATATGGGAATTACAAAACGAAGCCTTTAAACCCCTCTGGAGATAAATTCATTTTTCTCAGCCAAGTATTAACACCAACAAATGAAGGATTTACATGTAATCCCTAAAAGCAGTTAGGTAGAAATTACCAACAATACTATGACTTTTTCACTAAGCAATTTATTTAGTCTCACCAGTATAATAGGGCAATTTAAAGGGTGCAATTTTTTAAAATATGAGATGGAAACACAAAATACTGTCCTTGATATTTTAAATCACGTTTTTCAGGTCTGTACATTCAAACAAATATAAGGGTTTTTTTTTTCAGAGTAGTCACTAGAGATGATTAAATAAATATATCTTTTTCTAAGTTAATTCATAAGTTCTGACCTTTCTAATTATGTACAAATGGATATTACCCTAAGAAAATGTGATTTTATTCATAGGTTAATAAGTGCCATGATTGGGCTGTATGGTTATGCATCATCTTGTATGTATCAGCTGTTCACTAATGGTCCACAATCTAGAACTCTTCTCTTTCTAGGATTCCATCAGCATCTAATCAGTGAGATCTACTTCTCTGCTAAGTATTCTTTAGAGAAAAATGATTCAAGACTTAATGAAAGAGAGAATCTATATTATTGTAAGCCATAACAACCATTTGTGATATGAATTACTGTTATCAAGATGACAAATTTAAAAAATACATACTCTTAGGAAAAATAGAAGCCTTTGCCCAACCACACTATACTCTAAAAATAAAACCAACATTTTTTCACACTCAAAAGTCAAAGTGGGAATATACGAGGATTCAACTGATTGCAGAAAATGAAAGACATCTAAGATGAATAAAGAGATAGATCTTATATAATTGCCAGTTATTATTCATGATTAAGTTTAATCAAGTGAAATTAATAGGACCACTTAAGAAAAAAATTACAAAACAGGAAAAAAAACATAAAAAGTGTCAAAGTTTCAAATATTCTACCTACTATCACCTATCAATAATATTCTGTTCTGCCAAATACCTGAGCAAATGGCAATATCATGCAATTGCCACTGACATCCTTGCATTCCAACCTGCCAAATAACAAGGAGGACTCTATTTACAAATTAATCTGTGCTTTTAGGCTCAGCATAGTCCTGCTACCTCTAAATGGACCCCATTTAAATTTCTTATTATACAACCTAAAAGAGTTAAGCAAAAATAAGAAAAGCAGTCATAAGAACCAACCAAATACAAATAACCACTATTAACATTTTGAAATATGTTAGCCCCACCTTCTTACACTTATTTCTCTCTTAAACATTTCAGTACAAAATTACGCAGCCAGTCACTTAAAAGCATTACCAAAAAACGCCTTTCTGAAGAAGCTGAGCACAGGACATTCTGGAAGAGAGTTCCTGTTGCACTCTGGGTAGAAGTGCAACACTCTCACATAGGTACAACCTGCAACCCAGCCATTGGCCGAGTATGCTGGGACTACCTGTTTCTAGAGTTCGGTGCCTCCTGCAAAACATCACTTACTGTGCCTGGCATATGACTTCTCTCGTTCTTCCCATTCTGAGAGCTGCTGTTTTTTAGTTTCTTTTTCTTTTTGGCTGTTTCTTTGTACTCTTTCTGTTTGTTCTGGACTTCAATAAGAACAGAAATAAAGCTGTTTTTCACTTCCTTTTCAAACTCCAGTTCATCTCGCAGGGCCAACTGCTGCACCAGCTCCTCGGAGTACTCCTTAATGGCAGACTCAATTTCCTCCAGTAGTTCATTTAATTCAGATACTGAGAGCCTTTTTACTCCTATGACCAAAAACAAAGTACAGCAGATACTAAGACAAAAGTGTTTCAAGGCAGAACAGCAGGTGTTTCATGCCAAAGAGTAAAAAATCACATTCTAACCAACTAAACTGTTTATGATTTTTTCAGAACCTTAAAATTTCTGGTGGGCAGGTCTGAGTAGAAGTAGGTGGGCAAAGTCACTTCTCAGCTGGCTGAGATGAAACGTAGAACAAAACTTTTAACTTTTTTGTATAAATCAAGTACCCCATGAGCAGTACTTCAGTCAAGACTGAGAAAGCTTACACAAGGTACACACATAAAAGCAGAGTGAGTACAGAAACCACCTGCTGACAAGAAATGCAAGCAAGTGAGCAGTATTCTGGGACATTTCTAGAAAGGACTCGATTTAAAAGAATTAAAGTAAATACATATTTAATCATATGTGCCCCAAATTGTGAATTTTGTTGAGGACTTGGAAGATGAAAGAAAGCAATCCCTGATACCCTTTTTCGGTTTTTTTCTTAACACTTTCACTCACATGAGAAAAGAGAACATTGATGAAGTCCTGCCCACCCCCTAGTACCTCATGTGGCTATATGATTTTGAGAGAAAAGTCTTTAAGGAAGAAATTAAGTTAAAATGGTCTTTAGGGTGAGCTCTAATCCAGTGCAACTGCTATCCTTACAAAACGAGATAGAGGAATGGGGCTATAGCTCAGTGGCAGAGCGCTTGCCTAGCATTTATGAGGCACTAGGTTCAGTCCTTAGCAGCACATAAAAATAAACAAATAAAATAAAGGCATTCTGACCATCTGCAACAACAACAAAAAAAATTAATGAGATCAGAGCAGAGGACATAGAAGGAAGATCATGTAAAGACAAAGGCAGAACATGGCCATCTGCAAGCCAAGCAGAAAGGCCTCACCAGACACCAAACCTACCAAGGCCCTGACTGCAGACACCAACACTGTGAGAATATAAATTTCTATTGTTCACACCACCCAGACTGTGGTACTTTGTTATGGCAGCCCTAGTAAACTAACACAATATTTTTTAATATATTATCAGGTATCAGGATTGGATTTTACAATCAGGACTTCAACAATGTCAAGCCCCTATCTACAGCAATACGGTGAGATCAGACCAGTGGAAAGAATTTAGTTGTTAAGACCTCAGTATGTTGAAAGGAAGTCACACATCACCCAAAGGGATTTAGGCAACCAAGTTTCAGACCTCTGGTCATACCATAAACATAAGACAAAGTGATGATATGGGCTAAACAGATAGGGACCTAATCACTTTCTACTCAAGAAGGGGACTAGTCACCAGGCAGTGAATAAATGTATGCTTAGCTCAGAATATTCACAGGAGAGTTATGCATACTTGGAAACTTCACAATAACTAACTCCACAGTTTTTAACAGTTCATTATCATGTATACCAGATCCACTTCAAACATAATTTTGATTTCCAAAATTCTTCATAGCTACCCTGAAGACAACTATTTGTAAAGATAGGAATTATTTTCAACAAACACGAAGTATCTTGTTAATTGTGGACTAAACTATGTCTCCCCAAAATTTCATATAATCAAACCCCCTCTACCTGAGAATGTAACAGTATTTGGAGACAGGGTATTTATAAAGGTAAAGTTAAAATGAGGTATTAGGCTAACCCATAATCCAATATAATTTGTGTCTTTATAAGGAGAAATTTAAAGTCAGGTGCAGTGGTGCACATCTACAATCCCAGCTACTCGGGAAGCTGAGGCAAGAGGATCACAAGTTCAAGGGCAGCCTCAGCAACTAAACAAGGTGCTAAGTAACTTAGTGAGGCCCTATCTCCAAAAAACAAAAAAAATGGCTAGGGATGTAGCTCAGTGGTAAAGTACCCCTGGGCTAAATCCCACAACCAAAACAAAAAAGAAGAAGAAAAAGATGTGGACACAGAACCTGTAAAGGAAAAAAGGGAAGACCATGTGACAACACAGGGAAAAGAAGGCCATCCACAAGCAGAAGAGGCAAACCCTGCTGACAACTTCACTCTTTCAGAACTGCGGGAAAATAAATTTCGGCTAATTTTAGCTAGCCAGTCTGTAGTACTGTTACAGAAGCCCCGGCAAACTAATACAGGGTTTAAAAGGGGAATACAACATAGTCCCTGAGCAATGATAGAAATATGCCCAGAGTACTGTATTATCAGAGGACCAGGAAGGTATGCAACCCAGTCTTCTAGAACCGAAGCTTCCTAGAGATATCTGATAAGGACAAAAAGCATAAAGAACACAGATGTGAGGGGGATCTCTTACTCTCTTCATAACTGCTCGTACTAGATCTCTTAAGAGTTTGAATTTCCTGGGAGAGCATTGAAAGTCGATCTGACTGTGTGGGAGTCTCATCATCTTCTGGGTCTGGTGACTCCTGCATCATTTCTTCAATTTCTTCAATAACCTTCCAAAATACACACATCATTGTTAGTCCAATATCCAGGGAGAAAATGATCTACCTATATGTATCATGGTGCTCACCCGAGGCTACCAGAGTAGAAAAGCATTAAATTCTCATTAACCAACAGTGTGCAGTAGTGGGTGTTCCAAACATTCAGAATTTCGACTGTAAGAGTGAACAAGGCTCAAAGGAAATTTACAATATACTATACAAAAAATTAAATAGAATATGATTTAATACATTTGTTATGATTCAGTGGGCCCTACCAGACCTTGCAATGTCTGAGAAATGATGCTTCACTTACATAATTTACTCCAGGCAGAACAGAACCAGATCAAAAAGTTGTAGTTAAAAGGAAGCAAATAAAAGAAAATTTGTCATCTACCACATGCTGCGCTCAGTCTAAAGCTATTTAATGAAAAGTTGGACATAAAATTGAGAAAATAATATAAAACATACAAAAAGCAAGAAATTACCTCTCTGGCAGCAAAAGTTTAGCAGCAAAAAATGAATTTCACATATCAATTCAATAAAAGATAAAGGGATATTTTTAAATTACTTAAAATGTAGAAGCATAAGGAGGAAATAAGCTGGACACAGTGGCACCTGTCTGTAATCCCAGTGACTTGGGAGGCTAAGGCAGGAGGATTGAGAGTTCAAAGGCAACCTCAGCAATTTAGTGAGACCCTAAGCAACTTAGTGAGATCCTGTCTCAAAATAAAATATAAAAAGGGCTGGGGATGTGGCTCAGTGTTTAAGAGCCTCTGGGTTCAATCCTGGTAGCATTAAAAAAAAAAAAAGGAAAAAAGCCTTAGGTAACAGGAAAACTTATATCTGCCTTTTAAACAATGATCTACTGTCATATGCAACATCACATAACTGTATCTCATCCTGTTCCAAAGTCTAAAACTGGAGAAGGAAAAAAACTTTAAAGGAAAGCCAGAAAAGTTACTCAATACTTGAAAAAAGGATTTAAGGATTAAGAGAAAGCTATTAAAGAAAATATAATTAAATGAAGGTATAAAATATCACAAGCATATTTAACATGCTTTATTAATCACTGAGCTTAACAGGTAGCACTTCTACTGAGGAAAAACAAAAGTAAATCTAAAGGGGGGAGGATTATGTTGATTAGTAAGAAAATGCCCCAAAACAAGCATTGCAAACAGTGCAATGAGATATCCCAGGAGGCTAGAGGCTCCGTTTCCCTAAGGCTTTAAAATAGGCATAACTTATTGTATTCAGGCATACTAGGAGACAGTAAACCCTCAGGATCACATCTTTCTCTGGGAAACCATGTTCTAACTCAAAAAAGCCCGCTAAAATATTATTATCTTGCTTTTTAAACACCACGCTCTTTCCCACTCTAGGACAATTCAACCACAAATATGACTAAGTGTATTAAATGACATATTTTTATTGTACATCTTGAAAGTGCACCTCCCAAGCTTGCCATAAGGTATCTCTGGACCTCTTCTTTCCAATCTAAAAATAGAATGTGGTAGAATTAACAGTCTGAGAAGCCATGGAACATTTTATTTCAGGAAGAGATTCTGGCATCACATTTGGACAATACAAGAGAGGTGGGCAGAGTATTCAGAAAATGAGAATGCTGATTCAACTGCTTTCAAATGAACACAGGATTGACATTATAGAACATTCCACAGCAATAATGCTCACTTCTTCCTGGAGTATGTAAGAGGTGTAACTAATATGTGCCAATGAGTCTTACCCAGGATTTTACAAAAACTAAATAATTTCTACACAGATATTTCCCCATGTCTGGACAAATCTAAAGGAAATAGGAAAATTAATATTCTTTTACCTTGGCTTTAAGTAGCTTGTAACAATACTTAGATTAGAAAACTTCCCAATCAACAAAATTTCATTTTCCTCAGCCTCTATAAACTTTCTTCTTTTTCTCAATGGAAGAGTTAGCTGTTAACCAATATAACCACACAATCTAAGGCAAATAAGTAAATTCTAATAACTATCATTTACTGGCACAGTAAGAAATGGCTTTCGGCTCTAGGTTCTGCTGTCCTTGCGTAGATGAGCATCTCCTGGATACCTGGTCTGCCGTGAAGAGGGGTTCCTCATTAACGCAGGAGACAATGATGGAATGCATGTCCAGCTGTTCTCTCAGCTCCTCATCATCTGATGTGTCAAAAAGCAAACTGTCACTTATCTAAAAGCAAAAATACCCATGGTTAAAAACAAGACATTCTAACCAAAACATCCCTGGGTAAAAGATGCAGCCGAAGAAAGCACAGACTGAGAGTGCACCCTTGAAAGGGAGACCTTATGGTCACTCTGAACTAGGCAGCTTGTGCAGTACTTTACTATTCATACCAAGCAGAAAAAAGAGCAGTGTAAAACAGACATAAACTTGTTCAGGGGCATATATATTCCAGTGGTCTAATACATACTTAACTATTTTTTCCAGAAGAAATATAAGAGCATATGAAAGCCAACAGTGGGGAAAAAAATATAGTATTTGTTAGCAAGCTGTAGGGAATTACAAGGAATAGAAGGGAGGAAAAGGGCAGGTATAGCAATGAATATTATTTAGTTAATCTAACAGCACGATTGGTAAGATGTTAAACTCTACAGAAAGCATAAAGCAAGTTTTTTGCAAACTAATTTCTAATATTCAGAGTAAAAGATAAGTAATAAATTCCCTGGCAGACAGGATCTGTCCATGAGGATTGCACTTAGTTCTTCCAGTTGAATATCTTTTCTTCCAAAGAAAGATCTCTAGGTTCCAAAACATCTTTAAACCTAACAGTCTGGAGAGTATCCAATCACCCCACTAAGATATCCTACCACACTCTGTGCCCCAGAAGACTGACCATATGGACCACATCAAAGGATGCCCTTGACTTCTAGCTTCCAGTTGGGTCACACATCATTGGCAGACTGCAAGGTGAGAAGGTGAGGGCTGAGCACTTGTTCTCTCTCCTCCTCCCTGCCAGACTGCCATTTGTCAGCTCTGGCTCTTTACCAAAGGCCACAGCTCTTGTCAAGCAAACCTCTCTCCATACCTAATCTCTTCAGGTTCTAGAAATTTCTCCCTCTCCTTTCCTCTTCACATCCAGGGCTGCTAAAGTACCACTAGCCATTACCATCCCTGAGGTACTGCATTACGCTTAGCTGGTTTCCCTGAACCCTGCAAACACCAATATAAACCACCCCTTTAATGATACTTAGAGTCTAGTACCAGCACTAATTGTAAAAACTTTTCCTGGAAAACATGGAGCATATTAAAGTGAATAGTGATCCATCCTCTACCTATTGTGACATGACTATTATGGTAATAAACATAACTGAAATTAGAACCTTATTCCTCTGGAAAGTTTAGTACCCTTTGAGCTCCCAAAGAACAAATGGACAACAAGAACTATGTAAAAATAAACTATGTCCTTCTATTACATAGTATATAATTAAAATAGCCAGGTGTGCTGGCACATGTCTATAATCCCCCTGACTCAGGAGGCTGAGGCAGGAGGATCACAAGTTCAAGGCCAGCCTAGGCAATTTAGCAAGATCCTCAACAACTTAGTGAGACCCTATCTCAAAATTTAAGACTATAAAAAAGACTGGAGATGTACTCAATGGTAACATGCCCCTGGGTTCAATCCTCAATTCCTAAAAACAAAAACAAAACAAAATATATATATTACATTACGCTATATTATCTTCATCCAAAAATTTTAAATCCGAAAACCTCTGAAATTCAAATGTTCCAAAATCCAACACTCTGAGCCACAAGTAAAAAATTCCACACCTGACCTCATGTGAAAAAACATAATAAGAAAATAATAAAATTTTATCATGAAAATTATTTTATTCACTAGTACAGAGAATGTATCTAAAATTGACAATACAATGGAGTGGATGTTGATCCTCATTGCCTCCCTAGTTCCTCATACAGGACCATCCAAAGTTTAAGGGTGACCACAAAATACCAGAAACCTGCAGGTGAGAAGAGCAAAGGAAGGAACCACTGGCGTGCTGGTGTCCAAACACCAGGCCAGGACAGGGGACACATGAGCACTCCAGGATCTACCTACCTGCCTACACCATAATGCAATTCTACCTCATTCTATTTCTCACTGCACCATCAGCCCAGGAAAGGCCTCCCTTGGCTGGCAACAAGTCACCACGAAATTTCAGAACACCATGGTAGTGAAGGTGGGGGCAGATTAACAGCATCCAGAGAGGAAAAAAAAAAATCACATTACAAAAGTCAGGAATCAAGATACCATTTGAATTCTCAATAGCATCAACAGATGCTAAAAAACAATTCATATAATTTTCATGTCCCAATAAATTCCACTGTAGACTCTAATGTCCAGCTAGCCTAACAATTAGGTGTGAGCTAAAAATAAAGACATTTTTAGACATGTCTACTCAAATAATGTACTTCTTTGAACCCTTTCTCAGAAAGATACCAGCAGGATAATGAAAAGGAGGAAGACACAGGGTCCAATGCAAGAAAGAGGCAAAGGGAGTTCTTGTGATGAGAGAGGAATGAAAAATTCCAAAATGATGGCTATGAAGTCAAACCAGAGAGTAACTAGTTCAGATTAGAACTGGTACTGCACAAGGCATCAAGAAAAGAAAAAGAGAGAAACTTACCACCTAGTTTATTCCATTCACTAAAATGAGTTTTATCGCTGTCATAAGGCTGAATTAGTCAGTTAATTATAAACTAAATAAACCACAAAAAACACAATTATTATTACTCTAAGAAAAAACAAAGATTGTATGAGAAGAGTTTAATCATATATACCAAAATGAGTCAACTGAGAACATTTACATAGGTAACACAAATGATGAAGATCAGTTTGGTTTGTCTGGGGCAGGGGTCTGTTTCTGCAGGGCTGGGAATCAAACCCAGGGTCTTGCATGTGCTAGGGAAGCACTCTACTGCTTGAGCTACAGCCCCAGACTGAAGATCAACTTAACTGAGGATTTTGATGAGATTATACTGGGAAGAGGAGGGAAGAGAAAGTTTATGTGAGGGGTAAGAAGCTGGAGGCTGGAGGATGGTAAGTCACTAAATCTTCACACTCTGGGTAGAAGGTCAGAAAAGCCTAAAATTGAAAAATAAAACTAAGTAAAGTGAGCAGGTGATCTGCTAGAAGGAGCAGCTGAAAGGCTGTATCTGGCAGCTAGAAATCAAGGACGATGTCAGTGAGGACACATTGCCTTTCCTTCCAATCCTATCACTATTATCCCTTTACTAACTCAATAAGAAAAGAGACAAAGAGACAAAGCTTTTCATGAGGGAATGTTATATTTCAAGACACCACAATGTGATCATGTAGGGGTCTGTACGACAGGAATGGACCTAATAATCATTGTCATTGATCCTCATACTTCAAACTCACTTTGCCCCATCACTTGCCCCCATCACTCTTCTATCTTGAAGCTTGAGCACCATAGTTTTGCTTTATTTTTCCCCTTCTGGCTTACAAATGGGTCCAAAAGATAGAATTAATACCAGTAAACTATTAGAATAAATTTCCGTAACAACAGAAATAATGATCCTAGATCATCTTTCCAGAGAGGGAGCCAAGCCCATTCCCCACGGAGATGGCATATGCTAAGGGCTGGAATCCCTTTCGGGCTTTGAAAACTAACCCTGGCTGTCGGGAGGATTATTAATCACTCTTCCATTAGGCATAAATATGCCATCTTTGTGCCCAACCTTCCTGTCACTCCTTTCTATGCCGAAGTTAATTTGGAGCTGGTGTCTGTTTCCCTGTATGAAACTGCAGAAACATCAAACGGAAAAAATGTGCCCATGTAAGAATCTGAAATATCCCAGTTGCCTTACCTTGTAAAAGTCCATCAAATATGTACATCTTAACCTTCAATGAAAGAATATTAAAAAAACCCTGAAATCTTGCAAATCATCTTTTTTTCTTATCTTAGTGTAAAAAAAAATTATTCTACCCATTATCGGGGAAAAAATTTCCTGTACACCCTGTTTTACAACTAGAATAATCTAAAAAATACTTTCAAAAGGTAAATTTTTACATAGGTCAGTCATGGAAAAATAAAGCACTCATTTGACAATAGTAAATAACTTTTCCAAGTTTAAAAAAAATGTTTTTAGTTATATGCAATCTAATAGAGTGTCATGGTTGCTTCTTACATGGTGCTTATTGCCCACTTATTCTTCAGTAAACTCCATGCATGTTATAATCCTTCCTGAAAAATAGCATTCTAATTTCAATTCTACTCATCACCAGATCAGTCATATCACAGTAGATGATGATTGATTGATCGATTAACAAACAGATGATAGATGATCACTTGTTTACTTTAATCTGCTGAGTTAATCCAGGTAAAAGTTTTATAATCAGTACTACCATTAAATGATACTTCTTTACTAATCACTACTTTGTAGCATTGTTCTAAATGTTGAAAACAACATTCAAACAGCAGCAAAAGGGAGCAACTTCCCCAGTGCAATCTGAGAACAATACAATATTTACATTTTATTCAATGAAATAGGATTAGAGTGCCCTATTCTTGCTGCTAATGTGCTTCTCTTAAAAACTAGGCAAGGAACTCTTCTATGCTATCTTTTAAAATGTCAAACAAAAAAAGTATTCATGGGCTAGCTACTATGAATTCAGCACTATTTTAAATTGAAAGGAAATATTTTTAAAAAACAACAACCTTTCATCATGATCTCTGAAGACAATATTCATTCATTCACAATATTCATTCGTTCACTCATCCCACAAACATTATCTTTATATTTACCATGTGCCAGTCCAGTGGTAATTACTAAAAAGACAAACAAAAAGATACCTCTCAGGAAGTCAGAATCTAATAACAGACTCTGAAACATAGATTATGAGAGAACATGATTTCAGAGACATGGAAAAAGTGCTGTGGGACTAGCACCCATGAGACAATGGGGCTAATTCTGTGGGACAGATAACAAGTCCTTTAAAAGTTCACAGCCCCACAAGTGTTCATGGATTCCTACACAGATGAGTGTGTTTTCCTTCTGTGCAAGGATTTAGGCCATAGCTGAATGACCATCTGTCAGAGATGTGGTAGATGGGGATTCCCCCAAGTGAGAGGCTAGATTAAGAGTCCTTTAAAGTCCCTTCCAACTCTAAAATTATGTAATTCCATGAGATCAGCAAACGCAAAAACAGTAACAGGAACTTCAGAGCAGGAGGGGAACTTGCATGAAGCTCAAAATGACAGCTAGGACCTGAATAAACAGAAGACAAATCATGACATGCTTTGTTTTATTTCTTTTCATTAAACATGTACCAGGTCAATCTGCAAAGCTTAATGGGGTTGACAAATGGAACAAACAGTAAGACTCCACACCTACTAGAATAATGGGAAATAGTCAGAATTCCATATTTCACTAGAAAATGAAAGCAGCAGGTTGTTCTGGGTCACATATTTAAGAAAACATTTCCATGAAACATTAACAATACTACTTTAAATACTAACAGTCACTCTGCATTATACTCCCAATAATCACATGACTACACTTAATGAAATATAAAGCATGCCAGAAGAACTCAAGCCAGCTTACGCTGTTATCTGATGAGGAACTTAATGTCTGGCCTAAAACACAGTGTGGCTACATTCCTCATCAACTTTATCACTTGGATTTTTCACTTCAAACAATTCTGTTCCTTTTCTGACCTCCCTCCCCGCAGCCATCCTTTCACTTGTGCTCACACTTCTCACTCAAGGCACTTTCACTTGACAATACCACTATGCATGCAAGTGCTAGGTAAACTAGCCAAGAACACATTAAAAAGCCAAGAAATGTCTTTTAGTGGCTCCCCACTATTCACAGGGATACAGAGACTCCTGATGACATGTCATGTCCAGCAAGTCATTAAATTCACCAAAAAGTTACATCACATTAAAGCTGAGGATTCTCACTGAGTGCTCTCAGCACACCACAATTACATTCCATAAGCAGGAAGAAATAGTGACTGTTGGTGTTCGCTATTTTCCTCAGTGATGGAAACTTAGCTAAACATACAAAAGTGAGCATGTGCTGGAGAGGAACTGGAGAACGGTGCTAGCAAGGCAAAGGCAATGGAGCCAAGATGGGAAGAAAGGAGGGCCCCTCCAAACACTATACGCTAAGAAAGGGACAACTCAGGCTGGGGATGGAGCTCGGTGGTATAGCACCTGCCCAGCACCAATCCCCCACAACACACACACACACACACACACACTCACAGAAAGCAACTCAATATTTGTGCTCAACAGAAATGGTACTGTTTAGTTCTGCTCTCAACATCAGTTATGCAGAAATCCTAACTTACCCCTTTCTCTGAGAGGTTCAGAGTAAGCAAGTGCAAGGTCCTAGTGTGGGATGACTTCCAGTCCACAGGCATCACATTTCCATAATTATCTGTCAGGGCATTCCAAATCCTTGAAAAGAAGAAAACTGCATTCAATGAAAATTACCACCCTATATGTCTTTTGTTCAATAAATGTTCAATACTACAATGAAAGAAGGACACCAATAGCAAATTTTTTCTCAGAGAAACACCTACTATGTAAAGTCTCCTAAATAAAACTGCATGAAAATGATATATGCAAGCTGACAAAAAGTCCTGAGGAAAAGGGAAGTGGTATAAAAAACTCTAAGTCACTAATACTTCCATCATACTATGTGCCAGGCACAGTTCACAGCAGTTTACACATTATTAACTCATTTAATACTCAAAAACAACTTTAGAAGTAGAAACCATTATCATACCAATTCTACAGATAAGAATGAAACACGGAGAGGTTAAGTAATATTGCCAAGGTCACACAGAGAGTAAATAGACTGTGCACTACAATTATTTTCGTTCTGTAACTTCTAAACATTTCATAAAGTAAATAATCTATCTCTAACCAAAATCTTATTTTCCTAGATTCTGGAGAATTCAGTCTCAATGTGAACCAGCATATAATATCTAATTTGTAATGTAACTGGCTAAGAATAAAGACTGATGAAATGAAAGGAGAAAGAGGAGAAGTTCCTATAAAATGTACACAGGTTATATCCAATGCAGTTATCCTACCTTATAAGCAAACAGAGTTTTGCAGAGGTGATGAGGTAAGATGCAAAGAGCACTTGACTAGGCTTCAAGAAACCTATTCTCATCTCTTTTTTTGTCCAATTAGTCTTTGGCCCTGTCCCTTAACCTCTTTGGGTGACAGGTGCCTCACTATAAAATCAGGCTTGAACAATAAGCAGCTATTTCCTCCAGCTCCATTACTCTAAGCATTAATTCAAATGAGTTGAATTGGGGAAAGTCCCAAGCAACACCAGAAAAGCAAACTCCAATTTCATGACCAAAATTCAGGTTTCAGTAACAAAGAAATAATCAACACAGTAAACATGATGTCTTATGAAAAGAGTTCTGATATACAAATGAGATGAAATTCAATTAGGGTAAGAAAGTTAATACTATATATTTGAACCACTTACTGGTGTTAAGAATGCACAAAGATATCATATAAAAAATAATCCTACAATGAATAACAGGTTATTTAATTGTAAGTCATTAAATAATTGTGCCTGCCTTTTTACCAAGTGTGTATGCAACTAGGGTACAAAAACAATCTTAGTAAGTACATAAACATAAGAATACAAGTTTAAAAATGGAGAAGCAACAAACTTGATGTAATGAATAGGGGTTTGGTGCTAAAAAGCAGAAGGTGATAGGACCATGCTGCCTTGTTTGGCTTCAGATGCACATTAACCTTGATGAAAATGTGAACCCCAAAAGCTCTACAAAACCATAGGTGGTTTACCCAGAAAATCTCGCAAATGCATGGTTTGTTTCCAATTCTCCTCTCTGTTGGGATCCAGCCTCCTCTAATGTGAATCAGCTAGAATTAGGTAATGCCTCTGGACTGCTACTTATGGGTTTCTAGCCCATGCTTTTCTGGGTAACAATTTTCAAATACTGCATACCTGACTATATACCTAACTCTGATCAGGGGTTACAGCAAGACATTAGTAGGCGAGGACAGTCCAGAATTTTCCAGGGGGCAGGGGATATTTTCTTTGTTGCCTCCTTCTTAAATGAGAATATAAGAAAAAGGACCTGGAGTGGAATACGTCACCCAGGAATGACTGTGGGTGAGTTTGCTTTTCCAAGAAAGTGAAGGACAGTGCAGAGTCCTCTACCTCCATCAATGTCAGAACAATTGTAGTTGAGAAGGGCATAGGGCCAGCTTCAATGAAAGATTTCTAGAATTCTCTCTCTAGACATGAACTTCCTTCATCCTTATCATAAAATATTACTACCAGTCATAAACAACTAGCAAGATAGCACTTTTTGAAGGAGGTCAAAGTCCTGCCAACAGTGAGTCCTGCACAATACCTTCTAAAGGAAAATCTTGGGAGTACAATCCATATTTACCAAAAGAAAATTGGGCTCCAAAAAGTTAAATAAAGGTCCTAAGGCAAGATCATATCTGAGTAAAAAAAATTTCAACTCTTGCTAAGGAAAGGAGCTAAAAAGGACTCTGTCAAACAATGGTGAGCAAATTTACACAATAGAGAGGGGACAATGACAATAGTAACCAGCCCAAGTTCCTGAGAGAAACTTCTTATGCATTCCCAAATCAAGACGTTACTACCAACATATCACCTACTCAAACCATTATCAAGAGTAACTAAATAGCCAGCGTTGTGTAGTAAGCCTGTAATCCCAGCAGCTCAATTCCAGTGGCTCTGGAGGCTGAGACAGGAGGATCAAGGATCAAGTGTTCAAAGTCAGCCTCAGCAACTTAGCAAGGCCCTAAGTAACTCAGTGAGACTCTCTCTCTAAATAAAAAACAAAAAAGTGCTGGGGATGTGGCTAACTGGTTAAATGCCCCTGGATCCACTCCCCAGTACCAAAAAAAAAAAAAAGAATAACAAAATAGTTTAAATGTTATAGCCTGTCTAAAGCAAAGGCCAAAATAAACTACTTTGAGGAAGTCCAGGTGAAGCAAAAACAGAGATCCTTAATTTAATTATCTTTGTATAAGCCCCTCACCTATTTTAAGTTACTTTTATAAATATAATTTTAAAACTCAGAATGTATCCTAGTCTCAGTGATTCAGAGCACATAAATATACATATAAATGCAACTATCTTCTTTTTGAGAAACAACTTTCCAAAATGGCATCTTCTGCCACTGCCTGCATGCTTTCCTGTGTATATAAATCCAATCATAAACTTTCCCCTCCTGTACAGCTTGGCAGGACACTATACAAAGGAACCAGCTGCTCAGTCATGTTTATAGATCCCCAAGACACCACCAAGCTGATAAATCTGATTCACAGAGGAAAGGAGACCACCAGGTGAAGCCCCTTCTTCTGCCTATGAACCCTTGCATCTCACAAGAATTCATACCGGCTAACTTCTAGTATCTCCATTCCATGAAAGCTCTGGAAACCCATCCTACCCATATCCTCATTCACTTTACTTCCAATTTCTCCAGGGATATTTTCCAGTGTAAATACGATATGCTTAAACTCCCTCCCTGTTGCCATTCCTTTTCCCATCTTTTGGGATTAAATGGTGATACATAATTACAACCTTTATCTAAGCAAATTATAATTGGAGATGGGGTGGTTAAAGAACTCTACCTTTTCCCTCCCCCAGCTCTCATAAATCCCTGTGAATTACCTATCATTGAAATTAAATCACTTCGGATGATTCTGTAATTATTACTTGTTTATGCACTGGTCTCCACACCACTGAGATCCTTGCTATGAATAACCAGAGCGCTTCTTTCTGCCCCTATGGCAGCTTGTGCTCCACCAGAGCTCTCAGGTAGGCCCAAAGATTCCCGCGGCATAAATGCTGCGCACATTGGTACCTTTGCGCATGCTATACCTTCGATCTAAAATGCTAAACCTTTCTTCACGTGCCAGGCAAACTCCCACTCATCCATTAGGATTCAATTTATAGGTTGCTTTCTCTATGAAGACTTTCCCCCAGGCACAGCCTTTTAAATCTCATATTTGGTACAAGTATCTATTAGAACACTTATATCTCTCTCTCTCTCTCTCTCTCTCTCTCTCTCTCTCTCACACACACACACACACACACACACACACACACAAATACATTTACAAATCTACGTCCCATCCTACGTTGTGCCCTACTTGAGAGGGACAATATCCACTCATTTTGGTATTCCAAGTGCTAAGCAGCGTCGGGCACTTAACTAGCGCTTAATAAATACAACTGAATGAATGAAAGGCTCCCACGTGCCCCAGGAGGTACGGTCTCCAACTACAAGCTCGGTACAGGTGATCCCCTCCAAAACCAAACAAGGCGAGGAAGGAGCACTCTTAGGGGCAGTGACAGAGGGGGAGCAGGGATTTAAATCGCCCTGGGAGCCGAGCAACGCCCCCCCGCAGGAGGAGGGAGCGGGGCGGGCCGCCGCGTCTGTGGAGGCGGAAGGAGGGCGCGGGGAGGAGCCTGCGGCCGGAGTCCCGCCGGGCTGCGGGCCGAGGTCCCGGGGTAGGGTGAGTGGCAGGGGAGGCTCCCGCTCGCTCCCGGCTGGGGCCCGCACTCACTCGTCCCCCTGCAGGAGGCTGCGCTCGGTGATGGGCCGCACGGCCGCCCGCGGGGGCTCGGCGCCGAGACCCGAGGGGCGGAAACACAGGCTCAGCTTCTCCTCCAAGCTGCAGGCCAGCGCCGGGAAGCCTTCGCCGCCCGCGCCCGCCCCCGCCCCTGCCCCGGCCTCGGGGCTCGCGTTACAGTTCTCCTGGTCCAGGAGGCTCCGGGCCGGCTCCTGGAACTCATAGAAATCCTGCCAGTCCCCGTCCGCCGCCATCGCCGCCGGGTGCCGTCGCGCGCCCAGCCCCGGCCGAGGCCCCGCCCCCTGTAGGCCCCGCCCCCGGGCCGTTTCGCCCCGCCCAGCCCCGCCAGGCCCCGCCAGGCCCCGCCAGGCCCAGTTCCGCCGGCTCCACTGGGAGACAGGTCCCGGATCGTCTGCTGGGGTCTTCCTTTTCCTGAGTCTTCTGGAGTTGACCGCGGGTGCCCGGAGAAAGACCTTAACTCCGCTGAGTCACTTCCTAATTCTCTATCTTTGAGGAATGAATCCCTCATAGCTTCCCTTACTAGCACCCTGGCTTAATGTGGCCAAAATAAAGAAACTCTTTAAACTTGCGACCTAGTGTCAAAATGCCCAAAGGTTAACTTTCCAACTAGAATCATAACCAAAGTTAATGGGAAATGTTTAAGAGGTACCGAAATTCATTCCACAAATATTTTAGGTCTCTCACGTGCAAAGCAAATACAAAGATGAATAATTATGTAAATAAATATTTACAAAGCACTTAGAAAAATGCCTGACAGTAAATACCTTATGTGTACGTTATAAAACTAATACTTGTGGGCTACCTACAGGGGGCTTAACAATGAATGTCCTTGCGTGATAAGACTAAAAGGAAATGCTTTGTATCTTGTAAAAAGTATATGGAGTGGAAAGTTATTTCATGAGTATAGCGTTTTGCAAGATGAAAACATTTATGGAGGTGGACGGTGGTAATGGTTGCACAATAATATGAATTTACTGATTACCACTAAACTGATCACTTAAAAGTGGTTAAGATGCTAATTTTACATTATATGTATTGTGTATTTAACCACAATTTTTAAAAAGTAAGAGAAAAACTATTATAAGGAAGTGTGATTGCATGGTACTTCTTCGTCACTGAAAGAGAAGGCAATATTTATTGAAACAGTAAATAAAGACATTTTAGTATTAACATATATTCTTTTTTTTTTTTTAACATTTATTTTTTAGTTCTCGGCAGACACAACATGTTGGTTTGTATGTGGTGCTGAGGATCGAACCCGGGCCGCACGCATGCCAGGCCAGCGCGTTACCTCTTGAGCCACATCCCCAGGCCTGTAACATGTATTCTTAAAGATGGGTTTCCATGCTGTCAAGAGATAAACAAAGTTCTAGGTGTAGTGGCACATGCCTGTAATCCCAGAGACTTGGGGAGGTTGAGGCAGGAGGATTGCAAGTTCAAAGCCAGCTTCAGCAACTCATCTTTCTTTATTCCTTTCTTTCTTTCTTTCTTTTTCTTTTCTTTTCTTTCTTTCCTTTCTTTCTTCCTTTCTTTCTTTCTTTCTTTCTTCTTTCTTTCTTTCTTTCTCTTTCTCTCTCTCTCTTTCTCTCTCTCTCTCTCTCTCTCTCTCTCTCTCTCTCTCTCTCTCTCTCCCTCTCTCTCTTTCTTTCTTTCTTCTTTTTCTCTTAGAGACTCCAGCTTCAAGCTTCTCTTCCCTAAACCCCTTCACTTAATATTTCCTAATTAACTCACTTTAAGTAACTCTCCTCCCAATCAGCTGAATTCTAGCTTCCTACTCTGCCTCAGATGGAAAAAGTGGAAAAAGTCCAGGCTTCTTGCCAGCCCACCACCCTTTTAGATCAGTCGATCCAACCCAAAGGCTTCTGATGAAGAGCAGAGTATCCCACTTCCTTTTATTTCTCATGGCCTAATTTTACTAATTGATATATTCTGACCTATCTTTTTGGACCTATTATTTCCTACCAAGTCCTAGAGGCTATATGAAAATGAACCTGTGTAAACTTATTTGCTCCCTGGATAAATTAAGAAAAGTTAACCTACAAAAACCTTTAACTAGAGCTGGGCACCATGGTGCAAGCCTTAATCCCAGTGTCTGGGAAGGCTAAGATAGTAGGATTGTGAGTTCAAAGTCAGCCTCAGCAATGGTGAGATGCTAAGAAACTCAGTGAGACCCTGTCTGAAAATAAAAACTAAAAAGGGCTGGGGATGTGGCTCTGTGGTAAATCATGCCTGGGTTCAATCCTCAGCACCAAAAAAATAATAATAATTTGTAGCATTTGATTCTAAACTAGGAGGAGAATGTAGAGTAACTTCTAAAGAAAACCTAATAACACTTGACTATTATGGTCATATGAATCATTTAAATGAAAACTGTGATTTCTCTGATTTGACAATGTATTTAAATTTTGTTCATATTACAGTGGAAATTTAAATAACAAAAGGGGAAAAGTAGATAATTTAACATGTAGACCATTTAAATGTTAAATTAATTAGAACATATCAGAACTACAAAAGAAATTACTGAATATGACAATATATGGTTATGAAAGTATCATATTTAGCAAATGCTGAATGTATTATAAAGCAACAGACAATGAGGAGGTACATAAATGAAAATATCTCAAGAAAAGCTCAGATAATGGCTAAGTTTATTCAGTAACTGTAAGAAAAGGAAAGGGCTGAAGAAATAAAAATAAAAATACTTTAGAAATCTATGTGTTTACCCAAGAATTTAAGGAAAGTGCTTGCTTGTCAAAAAGGGAAGAGACTTCTTTCCATTTTTCTATTAAAAAAAAAAATCAAGAAACCCTCCTGCCACCCCTCCCCCCATCCCCCAGGTACGGGGAATTGAACCCAGGGTGCTCTACCACTGAGCTATATCCCCAGTCCTTTTTATTTTTTATTTTGAGACAGGGTCTTACCAAATTGTCAAGTCTGTCCTCAAATGTGTGATCCTCCTGCCTCAGCTTCCAGAGTTGCTGAGATTATAAGCATGTGCCACTGTGCCTGACTCAAGAAACTTTTGAATAATCAAAGACCACACATAAAGAAATGATAATGTTTAAGGAAATTATAATGTTTTAAGGAGATAGAAATGCTAATTACCCTGATTTGATGATTACATATTGCATAAATATATCAAAATTATCACAGCATACCTCATAAATATGTACAATTTTGTGTCAATTACAAATAAAAGGACCAAACACAATCTAGCCTTTCATTCCAATTACTCAAGTGTTATGGAGATGAATCTCTAGTGAACAGCTGTGCCTTTGATTTTAGTGATTAAATTGGAGTTGTTATCAGGCAGAACCACCCTGCCCAGAAGAGTGCGGACCATTAAGAGAAGAAGCCGAAGTAATCCACCATGGATGCAGCCTTACAATGTACATAAACAGCTACGTAGGAAAGGCATTTGGGGGCACATGTCCAGTTATATTCTGATGAATCATATTCCGGTCCCCCAAAAAATAAATGGAAAGAAGCATTGGTGATAGTTATTCATCTAACAGCAACATTTGTTAAATACTGTATCTTTAATTTACCTTCTGATTAAATCTATATTTTATACAACAATTATGTAAATTAACTTCACTGGAAAGCAATACAAAATTAATAAAATAGACTACTGTTTTTAGAGGACTTAAGTTTTCAGAGAGGCCTTTGAAGCACTAATACTGAGAAAGTCAGTGGAGATGGGAAATCCCTCCCTAGCCTGCGCAAAGCAGGGGAAAGAGAAAAAGGTGACAAAAAGCAGAGTAAGTTCACTTCCCACTGATTTGGTGAGAGAATTTTAAAAATAATAATAACATTGAGTACAATGCAAGCCAAATGCAAGTGACATTGTACTAGAGGCACAGGGCACATCTGGAGAGTAGGAGGCATCAAAAGAGGCACCAACAGGTTTTTGAGAGAAACAGACACAGATTCTTCAGGGGAGTCTGCAACTGAAGAAAAACCAGGAGGCTGGGGTTCATTTGATTGAGACAAATGGATCCTGTGAATGATTTTTTTTTTCCAGTACTGGGAATGGAACTCAGGGTCTCACACATACTAGACAAGCACTCTACCACTGAGACACATCTCTAGCCCCAACATATAACAACTTTTTAAAGCTGTAATTTTAATAGAGCTCCCCCCACCTCCACCTTTTTCCCCCTTTTTTCGGGTGTGACCAAAATGTCTTGACAGCAGAAGAGCTGTGTCAATATTGTTGTATCAAAATAGCCTCATCAAAATGTGATGTTCCTAAATAAATATGCCACTTAAGTCAGACAGACATTGGATCTACAAAAGCAAAGCAAAGTGGTCTATTAAGATAATTCTTTACCTAATTTAAGCAAGCACATGCAAGGAATTGCTCAATTCTCTGCTTGGTTGACTATATTAGATACAGAATTAGTTAATTGTTTCATATCAGACATATAGAGTTATGGCTAGGTGATTTCTGAACTTCTTGTTACATTATTTAAAGATAAAAATGTTAGTATCATACTATGTTGTATAGAACAACTTTGGAACTTTGAACTTTTATGCTCTTTGAATAACTGAATTAATACATACCCTGAATGTCTCTGAACCTCACCAGACTAGAAACTCTGATGGCTAAATTAGCACCAGTGCCTGAATTTCATTAGCTTATTCACATGTGCCCATGCTGTGGCACTCCAGTACCCCCCCCCACCCCTTGAGTTGTGCTTTCTATGTACCCTGTCAGGAGGTGAATAGATACTGGGGAGAACAGGCCTCTTCCAGGAGAGGCTAAGTAACCCTGGCTTCAGCCTTCTCCTCTCATTATAGAATAAACTGTGTCCATTCAAAATTCCTGTATGGAAACCCTAAGCCCCAGTGCCTCAGAATGTGGCTGTATTTGGAGATAAAGTCTTTAGGAAAATTATTAAGTTAAACTGATGTCTTTAAGGTGGGCCCTAATCCACTCTAACCGGAATTTCCCTTATAAAAAGGAGAAATTTAGACACACAAAAAATACCAGGGAGGCACTTGCATTGAGGAAAGACTATATGAGGATACAGCAAGATGGTGGCTATCTAGTGGCCAGGGAGAAAGGCCTCATGGGAAATCATCCCTGCCAACACCTGAGTATTGGACTTAGTATCCAGAACTGTGAGGAAATAAATTTCTGTTGTTGAAACCACCCAATGTGTGATATCTTGTTATAGCAGCCCTAGCAGAGCAATACTGCTACACTTTCCACAGTTTTCCCAGTGGTTTCTAGAACTCCACACAGGTCACCTCC